GCACTCCTGCACCCTTTTGCTTCCCAGTTCTGTCATGTCTTTGTTGTATACAACTCCTGACACCGCCCCCACTCTGCTGGAGCACTGTGACCTGCAGGTGGTGCCACAGGACTGTTGATTCTGGCCCCATTAGCAGTAGCTTCCATAGGGATACTGTGAGCATTCCTGAGACGAGAACTGGAGTTGCCACAGTATCTCTAAAGCCGGTGCCAGCTTGTGCTCTGCCACCTTTAGAGGTTCTCATGCATGCGAAAGGTTCATTGAAGGGCCTGGGAAAGTGCATTCAACAGGCCTGGTCCTCCTTGTTCCCTCTTCCGTAGCAGTTGTTGCTCTGGGTGTTATTTTAAGAGGCTTTCATAATGATCACAGCTGGGATTCCACCAAACTGGTAATTCCTTTAGGCCCAGAGCCTAGCAGCCTGTGAGCCAGTGAGCTGGTGGGGCAGCCTGCCAGTCAGTGAGATCATCCTGGCTAGCCTTGCTTCCTGGAGCTCACTGCATGGTATGCTGTTCAGCCTGCCATGCTTCAGCTTGTTCCATGTTGCCTAAGGTAAGCTGGCCCTGGCCTGGCTTTCATGGAGACCTCAACTACAGGAACATGGCCTGCTATCTTCTGAGGGATTCGAGGCCTCTCAAGCATTGCCCAAGCCATCCATGGTCCCTGTCAAGGCCAGAGTGAATGCTGTAGGACAGGTCATTAATGCCTATTAGTTCAGGCCCCTGTGGGGATTCCATGTTCAAGAGCAGGGGTAAGGAGACTAAAAATTGTGTTGAGAAGCAAAATAGATGCCTTGAAGCAGCAAAATTATTCAGCCAAGTTTGTCTGGCCTTTAAGTGGCAGATCTGAGATTGGAATGTGGGCCTGAGATATAAAGTTCAAAGTTCCTACCAAGAGGGCTGACAAGGTAGCTCAGCAGGTAAAGACATTTGCTGTGTAAGCCTGGAAACCTGAGCTTGACCCCTGGAACTCACGTAAAAGGAGATAACTAGCTCCATAAAGTTTTCCTCTGATCTCCACATTGTCTGTGGCTTAGGTTTTCCTCCTTCCCTACTCATATACTCACACAGTAATAATAATAATTTTTTAAATTACTACAATGATTGTTTTTATGACTCTTGGAAGTGTCAGGTTTTCCATTGCCCATCCTCTCTTTCTACAGGGACAGCAAATGGGCAGTCTGACCTCTCTAGAGGGATAAATGATTCCTCTACAGTGGGTACTCAGGTTTGGAATTTCTTCTGATTATAATAGGCCTGCCCCTTACCCCTCATTTGGGGCTTATGGAGCCTCAGAGTCTGGCCTTGAAAGTGAGGAAAGAACCCTTTGTCTGGTCAGCGCCCTGCCTCTAGCTTGAGTCTCATCCATGGTCCAAACCCTCTGCTCTTGCTGCTATGTCAGCCTAGCTGATTCTTATCACCCATCAGTTACTGGGCAGTGTTACATGGCAACAGCAGCTATAAAGGAAGGGCTGTGCAGCTGTACTCTGTGGCCTACAAGATCACTGTCCTTAAATCTTGGTGTGTGATGATACCTTGGCTAGGAGACCAGAGCAGTGGGGCAAACAATAGAGGTCAGGACTAATTCTCAGTGTTCCTTTGTGCATGCCTGTCTGCTTGAGGTCAGTGTTTGGGCACTGGTTAAGAATGTGTACCTGTATCCATTGCAGCATGGTGTAGCAAAACTCTGTTCAAATGAAGTCTTTGATGGAAAGTTTGAGACATTTCTGATAAATCATGTCCAGGCTCTGAAGTAATTAAGTAAGAATAATCAAGGCGATATTTTTACTGTTTGCCAGATAGGTACTTTATGTTTACTAACCTGTGTAATCATCATGACAATTTTGGAAAGTGAGCACTGTTCCTTAGTTTTATATGTAGGGAAACCAAAGTGCAAGTGATTGTGGCATAGCTTTCCAGCTCTCCAAGCTAGAACATGGCAGAGCAGGAGTTCAGCACTGACATTCTGACCTCCAGAGTCCAACCTTTGCATTTTGTTGCAGATTTGCCTACCAAGAAGCTCAGGTAGGTCCTCAGGGTTGACAGAAGCTGTTATCTTTCCAGTATCTGATTTCTGAGGTCCTGAAGGTAAAATTGGAGGGCCTTGTGGGATTGGGTCTGCCCCTCTCCCTGTGTTCTCAGAAGTCCTTGTGAGATTGACCTCACTAAGATGACATATAGCTCACATACTTACTTGCTTGAGGTCACAACATAATCGGTGAGTGACGGGAGGAATTTGAATTTCCGTCTCTTGATTCTTCCTTGATTCCTAGTTCACCTCAGATACATGAACTATTTTCTCTCTATTATTGTTCATTTAGTATTAATGTAGTTTTTGCCTTAAGGTTAGCA